AATGACCCCAAAGAATAATTGGAAAATAATATCAGTGACTTATAGGTGAATATACAAATCAGATCAAATAATTATCTTCCTAATTCTCTCCCTTTCTTCCAGATTTAAACTAATCTTAAAGAACCTGCTATTGCTTTTACTTTGCCTCTCATACAGTTTTGTGGATTTTACAAGTCTACAAGGGACAGATGTGACAATTTATCCTGTTATATGTATTGCATTCATGTTACCTTGTGTCTGTCTTTACTTTAATCTGCCTTATCTCAGAGGATGGGTGATAGCGAGATGTGGGGGTGCGGCCAGGCTGTTCTGACCCAGGGACTGGGGTGTCCCGTGTATCTCTCCATTTTCTGGTCTCTGGCTCTCCATGTCAGGAGACAGCAGCCAAATAGTTGTTGAGGTTGTCTTGACACTTTAAGGAACCACTATTGGAATAAAGACCCTAATTATTGTTGCTGTATTGATACTGATCATGTGTAATAAAATCATTTTTATGATACTAAATATTTGTAAGAATGATTTGTCCTAGAATTTGGAAGCAATATCTTGAAAGGTTTGTGTATATTATTAAAGCCACAGATACGTAAAATCAGGACCATGCTCTTACTTTTCTAAGATTGTATGCTATTAGCAAAGTATAGTTGGTGGTAAAAATTCACATGCTCTAAATTTGTATATCTGCCTGGTGTACTTTATCTGATAAATGTCAGCAAGCTGGGATGGAAGGGATATGTAGAAATATTCAAGGCAGTTTGGTCAGGTATAGAAATCCAAAAAAGAAACTAAGGCATAAGCCAGGGTAGAAGTCTTAGTGATTTTAAGATTTTTAGTATTTACCATTGGAAAACCAGAGGCACTTAATTGTTTAGCACTTTTTTTTTAATTTGATAGAATTATTAAGTTTCAGTGATAGGTATGGAAAGATTCCTCTCTGCCTCCACACTAATAAGATTGTTAGTTCACGTTCTCACATATGATAGAACTTGGACCTTGAGTATGTTAAGTGAGTATGTGAAAACAGTGCTGTTTTGGTCAACAATGAATATGAAAATATGTAGGATTGTTAGGCAGCTTTCACGGGGGTTTTGCACTGCTGGAGGAATCTTCAGGAAGTTACTTCAGTAACAACTTTTAGAGTCTATAGTTGCTTTAAAATATATTGTCATATGGCAGTTAGTTACATGATTATTACAGTTGAGAGGTTCACAGCTGGGAGGTTATTTGGGGAGGTGTATAGGTATTTTTGATTTTCAAAATGATCAGAGGCACTGTTGGCATTGACTTTGCAGGGCAGTGCTAGGTGGCTGTAATCAAAGGGGCAGACAAGGTGTCCAGTCCAGTCCAAAATGCAGTGGTCTTCTGTTGAGAGACACTGCCAGATTCTCAATTCTTGTGTTTAACATCTTTTGGTTTTAGTAGAGTTTAGTCAAGGATTTAATTTTTTAAATATCATCTGAGAAGTCAGTGTTGAATTTGCAGTGCATTTGACATTATAAAATATTTTAGATATATAATTTGACAATGTGTGAGTCAAGGGAGAAAAAAGAAAATGAGAGTCTGGTTTTTGGCAATTGGGATTAGAAGTGATGGAGAGGAGAGAGTCCAAGCACACACGTATATAGTGAACCCTTAAAAAAAAAAAAGTTAAGATAATTTTCTCTGGAAAGAAATGATGAGTGCATTCCTATTAGGACAAAGAGGGAACAGACAGTGCAGAAAGTAAGAGAGGTTATTAATCATTTAACAACCTGAACTATGTCATAACTTTTTATTAAGAAAAAGTGAGATTCATTGAGATAACAAATGAAAGACTAAAACGTTGTAAGTACTTTAATTTTTGAGTTCTTTGGGATTAGAGGCTAGATGCCATGGTATCTCAGTTGTTTGAATTGTGCCTGTGAGCCAGCAACTACAAAAGGGGAGGAAGGAAAGGAGGAGAGTGTTAAGTGAAGGGGAAAAAAGCAATGACAAGCAGATGGGAAGGGGGCAGCAATATCTCCTTTGATGAAAGAAAATGGCAGCTCCATCCTTTGGTGTCCTTAGGATAAAAATCTTGGTGTCCTCCCTGACTTCCCCTTCTTTCATAGCTAACATCTACTCTGGCCGCAAATCTTGGGGGCTCTGTTTTTAAAATATATCCAGGATCTGATCACTTCTCACCTCTCTTCTATATGGGCCAGGTTGCTGCCATCTCTTGCCTAGATGGGGGTGTTAGCCTCCTGAGAGGTCTGCTTGCCCCCATGCTGCTCCCTTACGGTCTCTTTTAAACCTAAGTCACATCAGGTGTGCCACCTTGAACCTTCCAGTGGCTTTCCATCCCTGGATGGAAAAACTCTAGCCGTTCTGGTGAACAGTGCTTACCTTACAAAAATCCATACTTTATCTGCCTCCCCTCCCCCATCCCCACCTCACCCCCCCACCTTTCTGAATCACCTCCTCCACTTTCCCTTTCATTCACTGTGCACCTGTCACCATCCTTGCCCTCCCTCAAACACCCAGGCACGCTGCCGAATGGGGTTTCTTACTTCCTTATGATGCTCCTCATACCTTCCCAGCCTGCAGCTCTTCTCCCGGCTTCTATGCCAATGTCCCTTTCTTACTGAGGCCTTCTCTGACCGCACTGCTGGAGTCACAGGCAGAGAGACGAGATTGTAGTTCCTGTCTCCCTCTCCCTACCACCTCTTTATTTTTCCCTAAAACACTTTTGTTATCTGACCTCCTGCCCACTTTACTGATTTGTTTATTGCAGTCTCTTCCCCGAGAGGGCGGGGATTGTTCTGCTTACTGTTGAAAACAGTGGTTGACACATAGTAGGTGGTAAGGGGAGGCAGGAGTAAACAGTTGGTGAAATATGGTTAAGAAGCAATGGCAGGGGCGCCTGGGTGGCTCAGTTGGTTAAGCGTCTGCCTTCGGCTCAGGTCATGATCCTGGAGTCCCTGGATCGAGTCCCGCATCGGGCTCTCTGCTCGGCAGGGAGCCTGCTTCTCCCTCTGACCCTCCCCCCTCTGATGTGCTCTCTCTCTCTCTCTCTCATTCTCTCTGTCTCAAATAAATAAATAAAATCTTTAAAAAAAAAAAGAAAAGAAGCAATGGCAGAAACCCGTTATGAGAGTGTCTGAGTTATCCTGACCTTCTTGAACTTGTCTTGTTAGTTGAGGATGCTAGTGCTTGACCTCTGTAAAAAGCAACTGGGCTGATTAATGTGAAGGTGTAGCCCAGTGCCTTTTGGTCTTAGAAGACACCTCATAAATGATAGTTGTGATGATGATACTGATGATTCTCGTGGGAAGGAGAAGACGACAAGCTGAAGGAAATGGTAAAGCATCATAGCTCTTTCCAAAGATCTTTCATGACAGCATTTGCATTTTACTGCAGGTTTTTAGTTCTGTTCCTTAAAGAGAACTCCCTGTGGCCAATGTTAGTAAATCCATCCATAAAGCTTAGTAAGAGGGAAAGTGAAACCGCTGACATTTTATTCACTTCTGGGTGCCACGTTGTCCATCACGGTCCTCCTGGTGGACTGTATGGCATTCAGTAGGCATTGATGTTAGAGGGGGCAGGGGAGCACACACCTCAGTGGGTGACAACCAGATACACTGTTTAACTTCCTAACGATTTCAAGTCTCATAGAAAAGGATCAATTCTGCTCAATAGGAGATGTATACTAAGGAAAGGCATGTTAAATATATATGAGAGAGATGTTCAATGTTAAAATTTAAAGAGATGGACTTCATGGGTTAACCTCCAGTTATCTGAAATCATATTCACAGAGTATTTCCTTACTCAGAGTTTATATGGGTCTGGCTAGCACTGAGCTCTCTAACAAGATGCAAGTTACATCCCTGTTCCAATTGTGACTAAAAACTAGTTCAGATGACCAAGTCCTGACTTAAATATAGTGCCTTTGATGGTTAAAGGTGATCAGGTGAGTGTGGTTAAATAGCTCAAGGGAAGAAAAAACCCCAAACTGTCCTTATTAATGAACTGGGGTAAAATGTCAAAGCACTGTTTTTTATGATAGTGGGCAGGCCATATATTCTTCTAAGATGAAGAATGTCATGAAGTCACACGTCCCTTGGTTTGTTAGCAATTAGAACATGAAAGTTCTACAATGTGAGCGGAGTCTTGTGGATCTGGGAAGGAGGGAGAATCTTAACAGATTCTGTTAAAGCGAGTTGACGAAGAAATAGGAGACCTGTGCCTGATGGTATGTGTGTGTATGTGTATCTGCTGGAAGCATTTAGAATGTCACTGTGGAAGTGAGTGCCACTTAAAGTGGAACGACTTTCGTTTATTGTGAGGGACTTCCAGTGACTCCTGGGATGTCCGTGACAGAAAGGACCATCTTAGAAACAAGTATGTCATATGCATTTACAAGAAATGATTTAGTCTTAACGTTTCAGTGTACCGTGAATATACTGAATAAAAATTTTAAAGGAATAATTGCAGTTCTTTCCAAACAGCTTTTATTTAAAACATTTGCTTTTTACTACAAGGGTTTTGTTTTGTTCCTCAAGGAGAAGTCCCTGTGGAAATGTTAGCCAGTCCACTTTTCTACTTCAAGAACTTGAAAAACTAAATAATGTAAAGGGTCTAATTGTGTTTGCATTCAACACAGTATTGATATAAGTGGAAGAAGGACATTTATTTACATTGCATAATAAATTACTCAGCAATGCTTTGTGTTTCTGACTATTAACAGAGCTAATCTGTTTCTTCTTGGGAATGATGCAATTTCACAGCAAAAATTTGATGTCATTCTAATGAGTCTGCTTTCAATTGTAGAGTACAATGAAGGCCTAGGAAAGATTAGTAAGAAATCTATTTTATTGTAGATAATAAATCTGCGAAGTAAGCTCTCAGCATAGATTGAAGTTGATCTGGCATGGAGTTGCTTTATGAATAGCCCTTTGAGCAAACTCTACAGTTCTGTATGTGGTTTTAAATCACTGTAAATTTGTAGGCAGGTACATATTACAATTGTCTGTTTTTCTTTTTAGGGCTCATGTAATCAAAGAAGTTTCTTTGTTGTGTGTATCTTTTCAGAACACAACAGGAATTGAAAATGAATCAGGTGAGTTTAAAAATAAGAATTTATACAAATACATTATCTAGATGTTAGACCAGTTCTTGATTTTTAGAAGATCAAAACACACATATTCATTTCTCCCAGATTTTCTTTTCTGTTTCTTAGTACCATTAACTAGTTCATTGCTTTCATAGTGTGCGTTTGTTCGTGGAGTGGTCTGTGCACTGTTGTGGCGTGGGTTGGCGTTTCCGTGGAACCCTGCGCAGGGGACTGGTTCTTTGAGACCTTAGTTCAGCCTTTCTGTTTCTGCCTTTCCCCTGCCACACTGTAGTGTTAATTTTTTGTTTTTGTTTTGAAGCTTATTGAGCTTTCATTTTTAATACTTTTTATTTTGTAAATTAGCCATTGGTTGAAAAGGGAAGATTGAAATTATTTTTAGAGACCGAAACTGATCAAGTGGGAAACTTTATAAGCATTCTGTCCTTGAAAAACCTGTGGATAGAATAAAAACAAGAAGGCGGATTTTAAAATGTAAGATGTGTTTCTCCTTGTAGGAGGGTGTGGGACTACCTGGGGATTAAACAATTCTGCTATGGAGATTTCTGTAGCCTCAGGGGTGTTCTGATAAGTAAAATCAGTTATGTGGACTTAATGTATTCTAAAGGATTCTGAGGATTCTTATTTTCTAGTCTTAATATCATTTCACTTGTAGTTAGAGAAATTCATGGGTGTTAGAAACACTCTCTTTTGAGATCATAATAAACACATTTAAAACATATGAAAGGCAGAACTTAAAAATGTGGAGTCTAATTTGTAGTGCTTAGCTTAAAACTATCAGACTTGAAAACGTTTTGTGTCCCTCATTATCTGAAATTTTGGACACCTTTTTATCATTTATAGGTGCTTCTAACTGAAGTCCCAATTTTATTAGGGTGGCCACGTTTAATAAGTTCAGTCCTGTGTTGCATTGAGAGATGTGAAATTTTTGGAATGGATCCTTTTGATTTCTTTTCATTACTTTCTTTTATCAAAAATACATTTATTTTAATGTGGAGGACCATACATCATAAAAAATGAATCTGGCGAACACATGGGGCACATGGTTTCTATTATTTTGCAACTTGCAGATTTACTGACATGCTTTTGAAGCCAAATTATTTTTGAAATGGTGAGATGGGGGAGGGGAAAAGAGAACAGAGTGGATTTTCATAGTCCTTGTTCATCAAAGTTACGTGCATATATATGTCATACATTTCATGTATTTTTCTCTCTGAAGACTGATTGCATATATATGTGAACCTGGTCACCCAAAGGAACTTGCTTTTCTCCCGCCTAGGAACTGTTGTTAGAAGAACCTCAGGATTCTGGGTTAGAACGATTGTGAATGCTTCCAGAGTGGAATCCAAATATTGACATTGCTTTTGGGGCATCACTGTTCAGCAGTCAGTTATTTCAGGTGGCTATGACTTTACCTGTAGGCTTAATAAGGCTTTAATTCTTACACTGTATTTGGCTACTCAGATTTTATTTCTAACGTCTTTTGACCTGCTTGACACCTCACACTTTCACTTTATGGTTCCTTTTATATCAAGTGACCTTGTGTTTAGAGAAAGTCCACATGCCATTCAAAAGAGCTGTAGCCATAACCTTTTCTTTTTTGGCTCTTTTACAATTTCATTTTGTTTCTGACAAGTTTTAATATCAGATCTGCAGAGGACTGCCTTTGATGCCAAATGCCAAATATCAGTGGAAAAGTGTCCTCTTATGTTTCTAATGGTTAGCACATTTCTGATTTGGATGTAATTTAAGTGGTCTGGTAGTAATGAAACTTTCATTTGGATTATAAAAATTGTCCACTTTTTATGAGTAAAATTTTCAGCATCTTTAGTTATATTTTCCTTATCTGAGGGATTTTGGTTGCATGATGTTATTATGTCATGGCATAAAATCGATGAGTGTTTTTCAACAACTGTCTCAGTAATTCTTACCAGTTAAGAATTGTTTCAGGACATTTTATGTTTTCCCCTCTTATATTTATTCTTCTCATTTTCAACCAGTGAAAAATGAGCAATCAGTACCTCAGAAACTTGAAAGTAACTACAAAAATTGGGGTATTAAAAAAGTTTTAACTTGAACCAGATTGATTTTTTTTTTTAAGCTTATTTATTTAAACAATCTCTATACCCAGCGTGGGGCTCGAGCTCACGACCCTGAGATCAAGAGCCTCATGCTCCACCAACTGAGCCAGCCAGCCAGGCACACCTGAACCAGATTGATTTTTTTTTTTCTTTCTTTTTTTTTTTTTAAAGATTTTATTTATTCATAAGAGACAGAGAGAGAGGCAGAGGGAGAAGCAGGCTCCCCGGTGAGCAGGGAGCCCGATGCGGGACTCGATCCCAGGACCCTGGGATCGTGACCTGGGCCGAAGGCAGACGCTTAACCATCTGAGCCACCCAGGCGCCCTTTCTTTTCTTTTAAGTAGGCTCCATCCCTAGTATGGAGCCCAATGCAGCGCTCGAACTCATGACCCTGAGATCATGACATGAGCTGGAGCCAAGAGTCAGATGCTTAACTGACTGAGCCTCCCAGGCGCCCCTGAACCGGATTGATTTTTAATTAAAATCTTAACGGTGATGTTCCGGTCAGATTATTCTCTCTAGGGACTGAGCAACCGTGCTTAGATGAATTTTAGCAGTTAGCATTCAGATCTATCTCTTATGGTGGTCATGGTCTTGAAGACAGTAGCACAGTATCATTCATTCATATGTGTGTGCTGGTTGAGGTTTAGGGACTGAATGATCCCCAGAATGAGCAGACCATATTGTTTGCAAACGGGTTCTTTAGAGGAAACAGCAGACTCGGAAGTCTCACGGTATTTTAAGAGCTGACTACTGAAGCAGTGTTCTGAACTCTCAGTCTTAGACCAGTGTTGTTCCAAGTGGCTGCTGGTGCGGTAGCTCCCCAGGCTCGCTCTCTTACCCCAGCTCCGGGCTCCACAAAGCTTCTAGATCCATATGTTCTTTGTCCTTCCTTCCCTTCTGCTTTGTTCTCTACTCAACACTTACCCCTTCTCTTACCTTCCCAGCTTAGAACTCCGCTTGCTTTGCCTGTGAGCCTTTGTTCCTTCCAGTTCGGTCCAGGCCTGGTTGGCAGGCAAGAGGAGAGCCACTCTACTCTTCCACTTCATTCTCCCATTTTCTTTTCTCTCCATTGTAAATCACAGATACCCTTTCCTTGCTTCATTTGCATTCCACACCCACCGCAGTATTTAAGTTTGGAGATGTTCCCCTATTTTCCTCCCTTTCTCCCCCTAGACTTATCTAGGAGAATCCAAAACTTTATAAATTACTTTCTCATTGAATAGAGAGTTTAGAGTGCTTTACTTTATAGAATATCAAGGGTGAGCAAAGTTCCGTAATTTGAATATGCTCATGGTAGTTTAAAATAGATACGCTGGAGTTTACTATCACTTCCTGTCTACTGAGTGCTTAACCAACATGCCAGGCACTCCATTAGGTATTGCACACATTATTTTCTCATTCATTTAGTCTTTGCAACCATTCTCTGAAGTGTAGATATTACCTCCATTTTAGGGGTGAAGGCATTAAGGCCCAGAGAGGTGGCCATGGCTTGGACATGACCACTCAAACAGTAAGTGATAGAGCTCTGATTCACATCCTCGCTTGTCAGATTCCAAAGCTCAGGTTCTTGGCCACCATGCTATTACTGATGTATCAGTCAGGATAAGCTGTGTTATGCTGTGCTAACAAGCAAGCAGCTCCAAAATCTCAGGGGCTTAACTTGGCATCCTTTTATTTCTTGTTCTCTCTGCGCATCCTGTGTGAATCCACTGTTGTAGTTGCTCAATAACCAGAGATGATGAAGGCTTTGTCTCAATATACATCATGTCTACTCATATTTAATTAGCCTGAGGTCATCATATGGCCACATCTAACTTAAAACAAGGTGTGTTAGGGGCTGGCCGGGGTGAGGGTGGGGGCAGTGCAATCCTGTCAGGTGCCTGGGAGGAGAGGAGAACTGTAGTATTTTGGGTATAGCCTCAGTGATTTTTCCCCAGCTTTACTGAGATATAATTGACATGGAGCATTGTGTAAGTTTTAGCCCTAATGAGGTAATGCAACTGTCTTGGTTTCTGATTTGAGTCACAGTTAGGTTTTTTTTAAAACCATCTTTGGGTAACTCAAGTTGTTCCTGGTATTTGAAACTTTCTATCAACATAGTAGCTTATGATTGCAGCATCTCTACATCCTGATCAGTGATCTAAAGTATTGCCAGTAGCCTGTAGCAGAACAATTTAGCAACTTAGCCTTCTAGGCTTTTAAAAAGTTTTATGTAGTAAAATAACAAAAGTGGTTTTTAATCACTGGATGCTGCAGATCCAACCTGAGAACTGTGATAAGCCAACCATAGTTGCATTATCTTCGCTGTTCTGGATGTTCATTCGTTCCCCCGTTGTTCCTGTGTACACTGCACCCCAGCATGTTGTGGATTCTGCAGTGAACCAGACAGGCAAGGGCTCTGCCCTGCAGCTTACCTAGTCAGAGAGACAGTTGAAAAGCAGCAGACAAGACAATTTCAGGTCGTGAAAGGTGCCTTGCAGGCAGTGAAACCCAGTAGTGTGGTAAAGAATGATGAATGAAGGCAGGGGAAGGTTCTTTGGATTCCACGGTCAGGGAAGGCTGTTCTGAAGAGGTGACTAACAATTAAAACAGAGACTCACGTGATCGCCAAGAATCAGATATATGAAGATCCAGGGAAAGAAAAATCTCGGTAGAGTGAGCCAGTAGTGAGTGCAAAGGCCCTGAGGTGGGAGTGAACTTGCTGGTTCAAGGGCACAGCAGAGCAGGCTGGGGGCTGGAGCTTGGCAAGCATCAGGGACTCTGGGACAAAATGAAGTTGGGGAGGGGCAGGGGTCAGATTCATAGAGCCTTAAGGGCCATAGAAAGAAGTTTATATTTTATTCGAATTGCAGTGGAAAGCCACTGGACAGTGACATCTGTATTCCATTTTTTAGAGTATCACCT